CCTGGCTCGGTGCAGGGCCCCTGGCTCGGTGCAGGGCTCCTGGCTGGGTGCAGGGACACAGGCTCCGTGCAGGGCTCCTGGCTCAGTGCAGGGCTCCTGGCTGGGTGCAGGGACACAGGCTCCGTGCAGGGCTCCTGGCTGGGTGCCGGCCGTGCCGGCGGCAGGTGGTGCTGTCAGTCCGAGCTCTTCCAGCGCCGCTGCCGGGGCTCCCTGGACCCCGGCACCGAGGAGGTGCCAGACCCCCCGCAGGCCCCCTCAGAGGCTATTTTAGCTTCTCTGGCCCCGTGCCAGCGATGAAATCAGTTATTTCCATGTGCTTCCAAAGGCATTAGCCAGCTTTAGCAGCTCTCCCAAGGCATTACATAAGGCAGCGCTTCCAACGGCGCTCGGCACAGCCGGGATCCGACTGCTCCGCTGAGCCCGCTGCTCACGGCCAGGCACTGCCTGATGTGCTTCCTGCCAAAGCTGCCTGCCCCAGGGAATGGTGTCCTGAGCGCCGTGTGGCCTTTGCTCTGTGGCTGCTGACTGAACACAGCCTCTTTCTGAGCTGGGAAGTGCCCCAATGGAGTAAATCCTGCGGTCCGGCTGGAGCAGCTGCCGCTCTCCTGAAGCATCCAGCAGAACTCCTTGGAGGTTTCTGATCAGCCTTTCAGCTGCACTTAGTGCTTCCCCCAGGGAAAAGGAGCGTGGCAGTTTTCTCTTTTTCCTGTGCTGAGCATATTGACAGCTTAAAGTCTTGTGCTTCATTAGCACAATAACTCCCTTTTTAGTTCTCTTTCCACCCCTGCGTAAGATCTGGAGTCAGAATTTCCTGCTCTTCCCTCTGCCTGGTTTTACATGGAGGAGCCTTGTACCTGGTGCCCTCTGTCTGTGTCTCACAGCCTGAATCTCCTTCATCCTTGCTGCTGGCTGGCTCTTTGCATCCCTCCTGTACTTGGGCACCACAGAAGTGCCAGTTGGGTGGGTTTGGTGAGGAGAGGAGCTTGTCTGGGAGGAGGTGGATGTGTCCCCTTCTTCCAGGGCAGTGGGAAGCCCTAAGGATCCCTTTTCCTCTCCTCCCACCCACTTAAGAACACTCTCCCACCCCTCATCTTGCTGTATGCACGTGGTACATTGTAAAAGCTGGCAAAACCTCCTGATACTCCTCTTTGCTTGGTGTGACACACATTTTCCAGTGGTCAGACTGCCCATTGGCCTCGAGGTGGATGAATCCTGGGGTGGGATTGCCCCAGTTCCCCCCGCTGTGGAGGCCTGACCAGCTCCCCAGCACCTGCCGAGGCCCAGGGCTGAGCTGTGCAGTGGTGGCTCTGGGTAGCTATGGTGACAAACCTGGGTGCTTTATTTAGTTCCTGCTTTTCCTCCAGAAGGTCTGCGTTTCCTGGTCAGTGCCCGCTCCTCCTGCAGCCAGCAGGAGCTGAATCCAGTGCCTGCAGGTTGGGACTGTCAGTGGCTGGTGGCTGTGGTTGTGTGAGCAGCACAGACACCCCCAGCTCAGCTCCGGCTCACTGGAGGTTTCATGTTGCCTTTGTGTTGCTTTGAAAGGCTCTAAAAGCCCTTGCAGGGCTTCGAGTGCTTGGTCTGGGTCTGGTGTGAGGCAGAATTCAGTGCTGCAAAGTGCTCATTTCCTCTGTCTGCGGGGGCTGTGCTGACCACAGGCCCTGTAGGGCTGTGAAGAAAACACAAACACACTTTTTAAGGTTTTCCTGTTCCTCCATTGACCACTTTTATAGTGTTTCTTTACTTTTTCTTCCCCTTGAGCTTTTTTTTATCTTTGTTCCCCTTTCCAGAAGAGCAGAGTTTAGAGGACTTAAAGCTTCTGTGGTATTTGGCTTGTAAAGACACTCGCATGACAGTATATCCCACAGATTAGTTGGGATGCTGCTCCTCGTTTTGTCTCCCTAATCAGGGATGAAGCTTTATTTATACTCTTCAGGGATGGAAAGGAGAAGGGCTGGTGCTGCTCTGTGTGTGCAGTCAGGAGAGATGTGTCAGAGTGGAAGAGTTTATAAATAGCCTTAAGGTTCTTCTGGCAGCATCTGCCCATGGCTTATCAACTGTGTGCACTTTGCTTCTGGACCAGAAAAATGCACAAGGTCAGCTTTCCTCCCCCTGGTAATAGACTTTTACTGGAAGAGGAAGCTCTGAGGCTGCAGCTCTGCATTAATCAGCATCTGAATTGATTTCCAGGCCCTGTGACCTGGGACACGGTGGTTGGTTCCGTAGCAGTTTGTTTCCTCGCTGCCATGACCTTTCCTTGGCAGGACAGCGAGAGGATATGTGTCCTGCTGACAGTGGGATGCTTTAATTGTGCCATGGCAGGAGCCCCCGGAGGTGGCAGGAGGGTGTTTGTGCCCATCCAGAGGCCTGTGCTGGATCAAAGGCCCGGGATTTGCCTGCAGAGGGAGTTTGTGGCCGGAACACCCGGCTGAGTGTGTGCAGGGTGAGGGAGAGGGAGAAAGTCCTGTCTCCATTTACAGATTGGCCTCACACTGCTTTTATAGTACTTGTTTAAATGTTGATCCAACTTGGAGACTGAAGGGAAATCCAGGGTGAGTTCATTAACCTTGCTGCTGGATCTCTTCCTGCTTCTCCAGTCCCGTACCTGAGACTGTTCTGAATTCCAAGAATTCTGGCCCAGGTTGTAGTGCTGTGCCTGTCCGGGATCATGGAATGTGTGGGCTGGGGGCTGTGAGGGTCTGAGGGCAGATCCGTGTTCTCCAGTCCCTGGACTGCCACTTTCCATGATTGGAGAGGGGTTTGAGGCTGTGGAGGTGCTGCAGTGGGTACGACTGTGTGGTGTCTGTTCTTATCAGTTTAATATCTGATACTCCCTCGATGAGGGGACTTTACATTTCAGGAATAATTTCCTCATGGAAAGGATAGTCAAGCATTGGAAGGGGCCGCCCAGGGAGGTTTGGAGTCCCCATCCCTGGAGGTGTCCAGGGAATGACTGGAGGTGGCACTCAGTGCTCTGGGCTGGGTGACAAAGGTGGGCATTGGGCACAGGGGGACTCGGTGACCTCAGAGGGCTTTAGCAGCCCCAGTGGCTCTGTGGTAGCCCATGTATGGGCACAGCGACTGCTCCGGGAATCCCGAGGAGCAGGGCTTGGAGCTGGGCCTCCGGAGGCATCGCCCTGGCACAGCCTGTCCCATCCCTGCGCAGATAAACTCCAGGGAAGGCTTTACCCTAAATGGCAGCGCCGGCTCCTGCGGGCAGGCGCTGCGGGAGGACTTGCCTGGTGAATAGAACATGATGTTTTGTCTTGACGAAGCCTCTCCTCAGTGCAGGGCTCGAGCCACAGAGCTGCCACAGCTGACTCAGAGCTGAATGTACGAATGTGCATTTTCAGCGAGGAGACTTTCCATTTTCTTTCAAACGTTGCCCCGAGTGTGGTCGTTTTTCACTAAAGTAAATACTCTTTTTGGTCAATTATTTTCTTTCTGCCTTTTTAATGGCTTGAGAGCTCCCTGTGCTGTGGCTGTTTCTAACTGCTGCTCTTGGGCCTCTTTTAATCATTGACTTTAAAATTCTTCCTCTGCTTGTACCGGTTTCATCTGGTAAATGCCTTAAATTTCAAAAACACCTTGAAATGTGGTCTTTAAATAAATAAATTGGGGGAGTGGGTGGTGCCCTGAGTTCCCTGTTTCTGATGACATTAATAAGAGAACCCAGCCAGCACTTGCTCTTGTCCCCTAAAGTTCATGTAAGAGCTCTTTGCAGTCCTATTTCTTTAAAAAAAAAAAAGCCAACTCATTTGGGCAGCTCAGCTGTGAAACTGCTGTCTGATCATCTTATTAATAGGTCCTTTAATTAGGTGCGGGATTTTTTTTTTCCTCTGAACTTGAGGTGAGGAGAAATTCCATCTGAACGTGAGAAAACTCCTTTGCTGCCAGGGCTGAGCTCTGGAACAGGTTGCGTGGGGGGATGTTGGGACATTCCAGACCCAATCCAAACAATCCAAAACTCTGAGGAATTGGGCTCTGAGGACTCCAGTGCCTCAAGTTCCTGAGCCAGGGGCCTGGCATGCACCTGACCTCTAACCTGGAGAGCTCCTTCCGTGTTTCTTTGACCTACTTCACGTGCTGTCATGTGGGTCAGTAGTGATCCCATCTGCCTTAAAGCTCTTAGTGCTGTCACCAGCACAGGTAAACCTTCCCAAATTGCCAGGGCAAATTGTATTTGGGGTTCTGAGGGGGAACATAACTTCAGCCCTCCCTCACTGCCCTGTCCTGTCCCCCCTCTTTGCCCATGTTACTGTCAGGGGTGTGGTGAGAACGGCCTGACAGGGAAGATATCCTGGAGCAGCTTTGGTTACCACACATGCTCTGGTGATTTATCTCTTCCATGACCTTTGAATTGCAGGATCTAACCTGCAAAAGGCCCTTGCAGCTTCCTACTTGAACTAGGATGTGTCTTTCCAGACCCCCCTTCCCAAATGTCCATCCAGATGTATCTCCCATCCCTGTGTTCTCTCTGTCCTCACCCTGGCTCTCCCCAGCCCTCTGCACTGTTTGCTCCAGTCCTGACTTTCCAAACTCCTGTTTGCCAGTCAATATGTTCCTGGAACTTTCACTGGAGAATATCTTGGATGCTGCTGGATGAGGCTCCTGTGGTCCCATTGGCTCATTTCTGAAGAATGTGGCAAAATTTGCTCCTTCCCTTCTGTTGAGCTGTGAAGCTTCTGAAAGGCAGTGGGGCAGAGTGGGCACCCTGGGAGGCTGTTTAAGGAATCCATCTCTCTCTCTCCCAGAGAAAATATAGATGAGCTGCTTTTCTTCACCCCCACCCAGTTCCCTCAGATGACCCCAGAAATCCAGGCCTGGCCAGGGCACAAGGATGGGCAGTAGGTTCTATCTGACTGTATCTCAGAATATAATTCCACTAGACTGGAGTATCTGGGACACTGAGCAACTGGACATATGCTGTGCCTGAGGCTTTGGCTCTTCCTTGGAGAAAGTTCAATGGAATTATCTGTGAAATGCAAAGTCTTGATGCTCTTTGCCTGGAGACATGGTTGGACCTGTGATCCAGGGCTGGAGGAGCCTCAGTCCCTGCACCGGGAGGGAGGAAGGGCTGGATCTGCTTTGCAGGTGGGAAACTGAGGGACAGACTGGCTCAGGTGGTCAGTGATGGGGTTGGGATTTTGTGCTGAGCTTCCCGTGACCGATGCAGCAGATCCTGCCTGGAGCTGCCAGGACTGGGCACAGCATGGCTGGCAGGGAGGGCGGGGAGGGGAGGGCAGAGCTTTGTGCTTCCTGGCCTTGGCTCAGCTGAGTGCCCGTGATCACACCTGGCCTTTTCTGCTTCTTTTCAGGGATGCTGGAATACGACCCAGCCAAGAGGTTCTCAATACAGCAGATAAGGCAGCACAAGTGAGTGTTATTCCCTTCCTGCTCGTGTACCTGTGCTCCTGCTCTCACCTCCTGTTTCCTTTTGACAGCAGACACATGGAAGTCACTCAGTCTCCTTCCTCCAGCTCTGCTGGGGCTCTGGCAACCTCCACTTGGCTTTTTTCCTCCTATTAGAGCATCCGGTAAAGCAGTGGAATTGCTGACCGGTAAATAAGGAATATGTTGGAAGTCTGTTCGTGGTGTGCCTGCTTCTGGATGATTAAGGGTTCTGGATAATTTTTTCCAGAGGCCAGCAAGTACTAATGGAGCGGAACAGGGGATCCTTAAAGCTGGGTTATTGAAGTAGGGCCGTTCAGTAACGTGTGTTAGTTCTGGCCAGTCTGGGGGCAGAAATATCCCCTGGTATTTGCTCCATGTGGAATCAATATGTGGAGAAGCGTTTCAGGACAATAGGAAGGTTTGGTTTTTTTCTTTCTCTTTAATATCCCAGTGTTCCCTCCCCCGTATCCTCCCCCGTTTTCCGTGCCATAGTCGGGGGGGAAATGCCCCGTTATCGCTGAGGCTTTTTTTAAGGATCTGTTTGAACACGCTGGCTCTGAGCAGAGATTTCCTGGGCGGATAAAAGTACAAGAACAAAAAGCATCATGAGGATGCTTTGCTGCGGAGGCTGCATCAGTTTATCTCCTCTTGGAATGGGAAGTGCTTCTGAGGACAGGCAGAGCAGCCTCTGGACCGCAGCTGCTCGGCACAGGCGCTGTCTGTGAGCCTGCCCAGGCCCTTTTGGGAGCCGTGGAAGAGCATGGATGTGATCTGGGATGGTGCTGAGCCCACTCTGTGCTGCAGGAACAGTGCTGCTTTCCCGTTGTGTCTCTGGAACAGCCTGGCCACTGCAGCCATGTGCTGTTGTCAGGGGATGGTCCCTGGGAGGTGTCCGAGGAGCCACAGCCAGAACCTGGGAGACCCAGGGTGCTCTGACAGGGAGCAGAGGGGCCAGGGGAGCAGGGCTGGGGGAGCAGGGCTTATAGAGCTGCCCAGGCAATTAATTAAACAGCCAGGCTGACTCCTTAATAGCAGCCAGGCCCCGTGCCTGGGCAGTTCCAGGGCTCTGGGCGATGGCAGGCACAGGCATTTGCCATTCAGGGCTGCCTTTCCCTGCACCAGTGGCCACAACCAGAGGGGATCAGCTTGCCATGCAGGCAAACCCATGCTTTGTCAGGAAACACTGGAAAGAAGCAGGAATTAAGTCTGTGGAGTCATCAATAGGCCTTGAGAAAAGCACTAAAAGCACTTTCTTTCCTGTGGGTGCAGAGGCTGCCCCTGAGCTTGGGCACCGCCCTGGGTCCTCCTGGGTCACTGCTGGGTGTTTGAGCTGGTTCCCCAAGCCCAGGTACTCCATTTTATCCTCCTCCCCCGTGGCAGTGAGTTTCTGTGTCAGTGTTGCCCAGCTGGAAGCACAGAGGTGTCTCCAGAGACCCTGTAGCTAGAAAGCCAGAGAAACTGGAACAGGGCTCTGGCACAGGGCAGCTGTGGAGCTCCTGTGCTCCATGGGCACAGCTGCTGTGCCCAGGCTTCTCATCCCACAGCACTGAGAGGGGCTGAGGAAAGGCTCTACCTGCAAACCCAGGAGCATTTTGAAGGCTTAGGCTCTTATTAGTTTTGTGTGAGCTTAGCCAGTGCTTCTTAACAGGCTTTTCTCCCCTATTAGTAATTGCCTCCTTCCTCCTGCTGTGGCATCTAATAATTACATCAAGCACAGCAGAGCCTGCAGCCTTGGGCCTTGGATGTGTCTGTCCAGCTCCTTTTTGTGCTAAAGAATCCAGAGCTTGGTTCTCCTGCCTTTTCTTTAAATAGAAGCTTAGCCCTGATGCCTAACCTGACCCTGATTTTTTTGTAAATGGAACGCAGCAGTCAGGACAGCAGGCAGCCATTGGATGTTGTCAGAGGGTTTTGGGAAAGCATTTTAGTAAGAAGAGATTTGATTTCTAGAATCCTTAGATTTTGGAGCAGGGGAGGGAGTAAGTCATTAATGATTTTGGGTTTCTCTACACTCCTCCCCCAAAACCGTGTGCTGAGGCACAGGAACTAGACAGAAAAACATCAAGAGACTTCCCCGGGCTGCCCTGCTGGGATGGATCCCGGCTCAAACCAGAATCACCCGGTGTCTTTCCGTGCCGCTGGAAGTCTCCTTTTATGTCTCTGAGCTGCTGTTCCTGGGGCCTGGCTCACACGGACAGTCGGGATCATCAAAGTGCTCTGAAAGCAGCAGGAACAGCCCCCGGGCCCCGGGCAGGGGTTTTGCTTTGGAGCCAAACGCTGCTGGGCCGGGCTGGTGTCGGGATGAGGGGAGGGGGCCGTGCTCCCCTGTCCTGTGGGAAGGGGAGTCCAAGGGAAGCATCACAGAGCGGGTGTCCTGCAGCCACAAAGCTGGTGCTCGGGGTCCATCCTCCCCCACTTCACCTGCCATGAAGTGTGAGGGCTCCTGCAGTGGGATCAGGGGTAAATCCAGTGGCTCAGGGGCACTGAGGAAGCACAGAGTGCTCTGTGGAGCTGCAGGAGGCAGGGAAGGCAGCCAGGCTCCTGTTACTGCCCAGCAGTGATCCTACCATTCCTCCCGTTACTCCTGTCAGCTATTCCAAATGCTTTTCCCCCTGAAGCAGCAGCCCTGGCTGAGGAATGCTGGAGGAAGAGTGCTGGGTTTCATCCCTGCCAGCTCCCTTCCTCCCTCCTCACTCCTGCAGCTGAATTTCTGCATCAGACTCCTGTCCCTGCACTTCTGCTGGAGCAGGACAAAGCAAGATGTGCTGCTCTGCTCAGTTTGTGCAGGTCAGACCTAGAGTTGTAAATGGAAGTGAGTTAAACCTCTCCCAGCCCTGAATAGCACTGGAAGAGCCTGGAAACCTGCTCTCCTGGAAGGATCCGTGTGGGATGATGTTCAATGGGAAACTGATGCTCGTAGCTCATCTCTGGGAATATTTGGTGCTCCTGGGCTGGGAAGGGAAAGCTGCCAAGAGCCAGGGAGTTCCAACTTGCTCCTTTATGGATTATCCACCACCTCCCCTCTGCCCTGTGCTTTTGCTGAAGGGCTTCATGCTCATACACTGCATTTTGTAACTAATTCACTGACCTGCTGCAGCACTTAAAGTGATGAAGTGGATGCAGAATTCTACCTCTGTCCCTTGTTTCCAAGGCAACCATCTTCCCTTCCCTCTCCACAAGTGTCACACTTAATTTGTTCAGCCGTGGATCCGATTGCAGGAGTTCATGGCACGAGAGGGGAGGCATTTCCACCTTTTATTAGCCGAGGTGCAAATTAACCTGCTGGGCTGGGGTCTCCTCCTGCCCTCCTGGAGGTTGCTGTGCCACCTTCCCCAGCACTCCTGCTCTCTGCAGGAGTTTGGAGAGTCACTCTGGGATGCTGTGCTGCTCCAACCTGGGTACTGAACCCCTTGGAAATCTGTGTGTGGTGCCACTGGATGCTCCTTTGCAGGTGCTGACTGTGCTCTTGGACTCCTGTGCCTGCTTCTGAGGGAGGGAGAGACATGTGGTGCCTTTCCCTGTGCCTTCCACAATTGCCTGTGAGGGGACTGAGTTAAACTGGACCCCTGTGATCTGCTGCTTATGGTGACAGTGACCTCCCAGTGAGTTCGAGGCCCCTGCATGGCATCACAGGAGAGGTGGAGAATGGCTCATCCCGACCCTGGCTGGCAGGGCAGGGATCTGCAGCTTGGCATCTGGTCTCAGACAGAATCACCCATGTACAAACCAAGCAAACTGTGAGTGTGTGACCCCAGTGGGAAGTGGATAGCTGGGAGTGTTGAAAAGCTGCAGCTGCGCTTACGGATTCTTCATTTAACCTTGCTTATGCCAGAACTTGAAAAGAGCAGAGAGAGGACTTGTGATGGGAGATCTGAGCTTGGGAGCTGCAAACCAGACGGGCTCATTAAGCACTGGGCAACCCAGATTCCTCTTTTCCTTCAGCCCTTGACCCTTGCTGTGTTATCTCTCCGTGGCTGACAGCAGCTGTCTGGGCCCCACTGCTGCTTGGCAGGATCACAATTGACACTTGTGCCACTGCTTGCCAGGGCTTCTGAGCTTGCAGGTGCCTCAACAAGCTTGTGGAGTAGGAAGAAATAATCTCTTACTACTGCTGCCTTCACCCTGAAACGTTTCTTAGCCACTCCCAGCCCTTTGGAACAGAGATGAGAGAGGAATCTGCCTCTTCCAGGGGATGTTCTGGACAAGGGGCGCTTCCAAGATACCAGAAATCTTTTCTTCCCCCTCAGGGTTAAAGCAGCCACCACAAGCACCAGGTAATTGTGTGTGCCAGTGGACTTGGCTCAGAAAACATCCCTGAAACTGGGAATAAGTGGTGAGACAGGGCACTCCTCAGCAGGGCTCTGACCCAGCTGGTGTTTTGCCTTGGTGGTAGGGGCAGGGTGAAGAGGGGCTTTGTCTCATCGCCATCTCTGCCCAGGAGTTGCTGCTTTCTGGCTCAGGCAGTGACCAGTGGCTTCCCGAGGCAGATCAGGGTGTTGCTGGAGCCAGTGCTCCTCAGCTGAAAGGCAAATCTTCACTAACAACCTCCAGCACCAGTGCAGAAAGTGGAATGTCTGTCCCTGCTGGAAAATCCTTGCCAGGAAATACTCCGTTACTCTGCACAGAATTGCTCGAGGCTCCTTCCAAGAGGTCTTTGATTTTTCTTAGAACTTCAATGGATTTCTCTTCTCACTCTCTGTCCTCATTACCATATATGCATATGCAAGTGTTTGAAATCACCTCCCGGAGGATGGAAGCATAATGACTGGAGTACAGTGATTCAGGTTTCTGCTGCTAATAAAAACCTATTTTTACTCTCCTGGTAAGTAGGACAGGAGGGAAGAGTGAGGCAGAGCTGAAATACAGCAAAATAAAAACACCGGGTGCTGTAGGCTTCCAGGCTTTTTCCCTTTAAAGTTCTCCTCTTAGCAGCAGCCACTCTGATCTCATTAGTCCTGGATATTCCCTTCTCTCGAGGTCTCTGGTGCTGAGTTTGGATCCCTCAAGCCCCAGTGCCCCTGGCAAAACCAGCTGGTGGCTGTTGGTTCCTCTGTCCCTGTGCTGATGATCCTTCCAGGCCGGATCAGCCCAGGCTGGATTTGCTGTCCTGGCAGCCACTTCCTCAGTGAGCACAGTGTCCCAAGGAAGGGAGGTGGATTGATCCCATTAGGAGTGCTGTGTGCCACCCACGTCACCAGGGAAGCCATCCATGGGATCTGTGGAGAGCCCTTGGCCACAATCCAGTTACGCTGGTCCCGCTCCCTTCCTGCTGGTCGGGCAGCTGGCGTGGGCTTTGCTCAGCCCTGTAGTGCCACTTCGGGGACAGAGGTGACACTTGCCAGCTGAGATCTGCAGCAGTTCCCATCCCTCTCCACAAATTCCAGCTTCCTGCCTGCGAACAAGGCACTGCCTGACTCCCAGAGCTGCAGCCTGGCTCCAAAACTCCAGCACTGCAGAGAAAACAGTTTAAAGATGCTGATTGTGAAGCAGTTTCTGGATAAGAGTTCACCCCTCCCTTGAATCCTGCCTGATTTGTCCCAGTAGCTGCATTTCCATTTGTTTATCTCCTCACTCCGTGCTTTTGCTGATAGTTTTGTTAGAATCCCACTTTTTTTCAGGCTGACTGTCAAAGCAGTGTAAGACTAGAACAAAATGATAATTACAGCTCTGCGCAGGAGGTGCCTTCAGCCTGCCTTCCTGAAAGGAATTTGGAACTGGGGTGATAAAAACCAGATGGCTCAGGTTGGTGAGAGCTCTTGGGCTGGCTCAGGCCCTCCTCCGTGGTTGGAGGCCAGGAGTTACTGGATGCCAGCTGTGGACTGGGAATCACTCATGTCCCATCGGGCGTGTGTGGGCCGGAGAGGTGTGTTAGAGGTACCTGGGTCTGCAGGAACCTCTGTTCCCACCTGCACTGAGAGGCTTGCTGCGAGCGTGGAGGCCCCAGCAGCACTCCCAGGAAACTTTGGGTGCCCACATGCAGCACTGGGAGACACCCCAGAGACAGTCTGGAGTCAGAGCCCTGCTCTGGGAGTACGATGAAAACCTGAGAGGTTTATCCCATCTGGCTCTGGGATGCTGCTGGGAAGCAGCCTGCTGGATTCCTGATCTGATTAAGAACAGCTTTCGGAGCCGATATCCTTTCCTGGCCAGATGGGCTTTGGTGGTGATAGGAGTCCCTTGAGACAGAGGGGGATAAAAAGATAAAGTAGAAACGTTTCTGCTGTGGCCTTGGTGCAAACTGGCTTTTAGAGGAAACTGCTGCAGTAACTGCCCCTCTCCTCAGACTGGGATCCTGCAAATTGGTGTCTGTTGGACTGGATCAGCCTCAGCTTCAGGATGGGAGAAGTTTCTCCTGTCCTGCTTGCTTGGACAACAAAACTCAGGAGCTCCAGCAGCTCTGCTGATGTGTTTTGACTTACAGGTAGTTTGGGTTGGAGCTGGTGATGGAGAGAACATTCCTGAGCTCTGTGTCCAGGCCCTGAGCTGCCCCCTGTGCCTGTCTCCCCGTCCCCCTGTCCCTCCCCAGCGTGTTCCACAGCAGACTCCAGCACTGGCTCCTGGGCAGAGCTGTTCCTCCTCGCCTGCCAAAGCACATCCCTGTCAGTACTGGGGTGGGATGGGGCCGTCTCGGCGTGGGGGCTCCTGTGTGCCCGTGCCCTGACCCAGCTGTGCCCTGGGCTCTTGCAGCTGGTTTCGGAAGAAACACGCTCAGGCAGAGGCGCTGGTGCCGATCCCGCCCAGCCCCGAGACCAAGGACCGGTGGAGGAGCATGACGGCGGTGCCTTACCTGGAGGATCTGCACGGCTACAACGAGGAGGAGGACGAGGACTTGTATGACATTGAAGATGATATCATCTACACTCAGGACTTCACAGTACCAGGTAGGGGAGAAGGACGCTGCAATGGGCAGGGCAGAAGTGGTTGGGTTTTGGGGGGTTTTTGTCCATTTAGAGCTTTTTGGGAAAGGCCTCGGGGTCTGAATAGTCCTTTCAGCAGAGGAGGAGACTGTTGGTTAGGGAGTGGTGTGAGTGAGCCCTGGTGCTCTGGGTGCCTTGGTCCTTGATTTGATCAACCAGGATGCCCCTCCCTGTATTATCCCTGTGCCAGCTGGGCACCCTTCTCCCAGGAACAGCTGCTGCTGGACCCTGCTGTTCAGCACAGTTAATTGTTAGGGCCAGTTTTGCTGGAATGAGTTATTTGGGAGCAGAGCCCTGAAGTGACTCTCTGTTCAGGGTACATGGCACACGGGGGTGTCCCCTGCACACCAGGAGCCTGGTCCCAGCCTGGCCTGCCCAGGGCTCCCCAGCTCTGGAGGGTTTGTGTGGTTTGCAGAGGTGGGGGAGCTGCAGAGGCAATAAAGGTGAATTTTTTCACCCGAGCGTTCCTGCAGGATCCCTTTGAGCCTGCTCAGTGTTGTATCTCTAACAGTGATGCCATGTTAAGATATAAATTAAAACCTTGTGCATGAGGGATCAGTTCAGCTGTGGCTCTGCTGGGCAGCAAGAGCAGGAGTGTGAGTGACTCATAGGTGGGGGTGGGTGCTGGGTTTGGGGGGGTAAGAGGGAACCTCATTAAATCCTGTGTTCTTCAGAGGAAGAAGGGGCTTTGAGAAAGTGCTTTCATTTTTAAAGGGTTATTTAAAGATTTATGCAGCTCTGTGGGGAGATGTAAATGTTCCAAGCCCCTGGTTCAATCGGTGTTAAACATCCCATCCTAGGGAAGTGCTGAGGAGAGGATGGAGAGGATGGAGGAGAGGATGGCTGTGGCCCGAAGGCAGGATCCTTGTGTGCAGTGAAGGGATGTGAATGTCCTGCTCGGTGCTTTTGTGCTGCCTCTCAGATTTGGAGGCCGAGCTGTGCTCTTTCCTCCCCTACATTAACCCCTCCTCTGCCCCAGCCCTGTTCTGCAGCGCCTGCTCCTGGGATTTTCAGTCTGAGGCTGGGCAATGCAGCCAGGACTGGAGTTTTTTCAACCAAGCCTGGTGCTCGGGAAGGTGTGTTCCTGGCTGCTCTGGTGCCTGCGTGCTCGCTCTGACAAACAGCGATTCAAAACCTCTTCCTGGTGTTATTTTGAAACCTTTTTTGGTGCCTGAATGAGCTGGATGCAGAGCCATTAAGAATGTGAGGGGTGGCAGGGATGAGCAGCCACGTTCCCGGTGCCTCTCTCAGCCCTCCCTTTATTTATTTTATTTTTAGCCTGCCCGTGGTGAGGGTGAGGTGGGCAGGAGCTGCTCGGGCAGACGCAGCGCTGGGTCAGCGGCTTCCGCGGGGGCAGCAGCAGTTGCCAAGACTTCAGCCCATGCTGAATTTTTATTTTCATTAATTTGAACGTCAGCAACTGTCATTGGTGAAGGAGGTAAAATTAGCTCACGATTCACCTCCCTCCTTGGTATCCATAATAGACTCCCGGGACTGTGCTTTTGAAGCAGGGAAGGAGGGGAGGAGGGAAGAGTCACACAAAAGACAAATGAGCTGTTTGGATAGATTCTTTTTTCCCTCCCCAGTCAGAAATGTTAATTGACTTGGCCCGAGCTCAGCCGAGGGAGGGGAAGAAGTGTTCAGCTTGGCTCTGAATGGGGTTGTTTGAGGCTCTGCAGACGTGCTGGTGGGATGCAGGGATGAGAGGAAAAACCCAGAGCTCTGGGGAGTTGCTGCAGCCCGACCCCTGTGAGCTGCTTACCCTGAGCCCTTGGGGGGCTCTGGGGCCAGCGTGTCCCCCTCTTCTAGAGCTTGGACCCCTTGGCCCTTTCCAGCCATCACCCCTCCAGAGGGATCAGGTGATGGTGGGGTCAATAGTGGGGTGTGAGCTCTGTGCTCCTGCCATGCCAGCCACTGCCACAGCATGTCTGAGGCTCTGACACACACCCAGGGCACCCCCTCTGTCCCCGGGGGGGCTGAGGCACCCCCATCACCTCAGTCCCTTGTGGTGAGCCTGGCCAGGAGCTGTGCTGCTCGGGAGTGCTGGGTTGGATCCCCCCGGGAGCGCAGTGAGTGCCACCGGCTCTGGCACTGCCAGGGTTGGGTGCCCAAAGCCAGTCCCTGTCCCTTCCCGTGGCAGGAGCACTCAGGTAAGTGCCACAAGCCAGTGACTGGGAGCTGTGGCGACACTCGGAGCCATTGGAAGGGATATGGGGGCAGATCCAGAGGGAATTGATGGCACCTGTAACCCAGGATCCACTCGCCCCCCCCTCCCTGTTTCTGGAGGACCTGCAGCAGTGCCAGCGGGGATGTGTCGAGGCACAGGGGTCCAAGCTGGGCCCCCGCTGGGCCCCCCCAGAGCAGAAGTGTCTGTCCCACCCCCTGAGCCCCCCCAGCTCCGAGCAGTGGGGTGATGGTTGGCGCAAGCGGAGCTGACGTCCCGCCCGGCCTTGGCGGAGAAAGGATTGAGCATCCTTTAAAGAAAATTATACATAATCGTCTTACAGCCTTCGCTTCCACTCAAACCTCTGAGTCATAACTGAAGGGCCCTGGAGCGTGACGTTCCTGCTGGAAGGAAATTGCCTCGGCTGGATCCGGTGGGGGGGAGCCTGACAGAGCCTCTCCTGAGCTCCTGAGCGTGGGGCTGGGGCTGCACCCCCACCCTGGGGGGAGCACCCGGAATGCTCCGGGGCCACAGCCCTGCGTCACTCCCTGGCTGGAGGGATGTGACCCGAGCCCGGCTGTGGCAGCGGGAGATGCCTCTGGAAATGGCTCTTCACCTGCTCTGCTGAGTCACAGGGAGCAGAGGAGGCAGAGGGGCTGAAGTGAAGCCCCTGCCCCATCGGGGTGTCCCCTTAAGGGATGGTGACACACCCGAGCCCTGGCCCTGCCAGAGGGGGCTGCACTGCCCCATTCTGCAAACACACCCAGCCCCTGGGCACCCCAGAGTCAGTGCCTGGGGCTGGGGTCTGCACCCCCCTCTGCTCCCCAGAGCAGCTGGGCTGGTCCCTGGGAGTCCGGGGGGGCTCGGAGACAGCCCAGGGAGGAGGGGACACACCGTCCTTGTGGTGCTGTGCCCGTTTGCTGGGAACAACCAGCTGCTGTGTGCTGGGGGAATGGGGGTCAGACCAGTCCTCGGGGGGAGGAGGGAGGGAGATGCAGCCTCAGGCTCCCAGCCTTGCACATCCCCTGTTGGGGATCCCTCTCCCGTGCTCCTCGAGGGCGCAGGAACAGGCTCGGGTTTCCCGCAGGAACAAGGTCCCTCCCGGGTGCTGGGAAGGCTCTGCCCACCCCTCACTGTGCCCGTTCCCTTGCAGGACAGGTGCCTGAGGAGGAGGCCGGGCAGAACGGGCAGAGCCGTGGCAAGGGGCTGCCCAAGGCCGTGTGCATGAACGGGACGGAGCCGGGGCAGCTGAGCACCAGGGCCAAGGGCGAGCGCCGGGCCAGCGCCTCCTCCAACCCCTCCCGCAAGGCCTGCTCTGCCAGCAGCAAGATCCGCAAGCTCTCCACCTGCAAACAGCAGTGAGCTCTGCCCAGGTACCACGGGGGGCCCGGGGGGGCTGCCCGAGGAAGGGGGGACACCCAAGTCTGCCCCAGCCGTGGGCAGCGGGAGGGAGCTTGGGGGTGTTTTGTGGTCTGGGTCCTGAGCATCCCCCTGGAAGGGTCCCTGGCACCAAACCCATGGTGTTGGAGGGTGCAGAGCCCTCTCTGCCTGCCTGGTGGGGACCCCTGCTCTGCCTGCCTGGCTCTGCTCTATTCCCCCTTGCAGGGTGTTGCCCCATCAGGCGAGAGCTGCTGTCGTGACCCCTCTCCCCTGCTGGGCTGCAGCTGGGCTGTGGTGACAGCCCTTTTCCTTGGCACTGGCACCCCCTGCTCCACTCCTGGCCTCACCACCCTCCTGGATTTTGGGAGCACAGAGGAGCTGGGCTGCAGTGGGATGCTGAGCACTGGGGTGTCCCCAGAGAGGCCCCCATGGGACCTGCCCCTGGCCCGGGAGGTGTCTGTGTCACCCATGGCCAGGCCACTGCTTGCCCAAGCCCCTTCCCCTCCCCTCCCTGCTTCCCCCCCTCCTTCCGGCTCCTTCTTCCCCGGCTCCAAGCCCTGTCCCCTCCTTCCCACCCCTCATTCATAACGGAGCCAGCAGTGACTCATGTTCAGCCTCATCCGCCCCCGGCCTCATGCTCGTCACGGCGCTGCTGGGGCTGAGCTCTGTTATCTCCTGGATCACGACCAGCTTTGTGGTGTGAAAAAAGCCCGAAATAAAAGCTGGATCCTCCCCCTGCAGCTGTCAGGGGCCGTGGCAGCTCCATCTTTAATTCATGGGGGCAGTGAGTCACCTGTGCAGGGAGTCGCTGCAGCCAGAGCCTGGGACGGGGCTCCCTGGACCTGCTGCTCCTCCTCCCCCTCCCAGCCTGGGGGCTCCAGGATGCTGCTGGAAGGGGAGGGTCCATGGGAAGGAAGGGAATGCTCCCCTCCTTGGCGTAAAGGACATTCCTTGGTGTCATTTTCCCCTTGGGGTTTTTCTCCTCGGCTTCAGGGCGGGTCTGGGCTCACCTGGCTGAGGGACCAGATGTGTGTGAGCCCCCACCAACCCTCCAGGGACAGCACAGGGACCCCGGGCCCCTCTCCCCCATCCCAGGGTGCTGGCAGGAGCCCTGGTGCAGGGTGTGACCTGCTGGCAGTCGGGAGCAGAGCCTGCACCCCAAATTGGGCAACCCCTGCCCTCCCTCACCCCTCCTCTCTGTTCTCCCCACAGCACCCCCGGGCCCGGGCCTGTGCCCCCCCCTCCTCGCCCCAGCTCTGCCTCTCTCCTGGGACTGGACTGTGCTTGCGATCCAAAAAGAAACCAGAGGAAACCAACCAAGGCCCCCCTTCCCTCCCTGCGCCCCCGCTCCGGCAGCGCCAGCCCCCGGGGCCGTGTGCCCGGACCCCCCGGACACCTGGAAGTTGAACTTTGTGGCTGCCAGGACGCTGCCCCCCCAATCACTCTTTGCCAATCAAGACACTGATTCTGTTTTTAATTTTGCGATGGGAAGGTGGGATGGGGGGGCCGGGGGCGTGGGACCCCCCTCCTGCCGGGCCCCCCCGGCCGTGTAGAGTCGTGCAAAGCCATTGCCGTGCACTTTATGTTTTAGACTACTGTTATATATTATATATTTTCCTCTTTTTTTTTTTGTTTTGTTTATATTTGCGGTATATTTAGAGATTCCTACACATCGTGATGTGTTAAAATAAACCAGATGAGGAAAAAACCCAGGTATTAAGACAAAGCAGAACTCTGTTACACCTGCATGCTGCACGGGGGCTCGGAAGGGAACAGGGCCTGGGAAGGGCTCAGGGCTTGGAAGGGATCAAGGTCTGGGAAGGGCTCAGGGCTTGGAAGGGCTCGGGGCTCAGAAGGGGTCGGGGCACTGGCAGCCACTTGGCTCCTTTTTTTTCTCTCTCTCTTTTTTTTCCTTTTTTTTTTTTTAAAGAAAAATAAAGTGAAAACAGCAGGTGGGTTTCATGTCCTTCCTCCTGCAGCAGGCGGGGTGGGGGCCACAACCAGCCCCTCTGCTTCCTTTTCGTTTTGGGAGGGCACAGCCCCCCCAGGCAGACTCTGCTCTCGTGGGGTGATGCCAGGCCTGGAGCCCCCCTGCCCCGACTCCCCCCACCCTGCAGGCACCATCCCGGGAAACAGAAGGTAAGAAACAAGCTCAGAGATGTCACAGTCGGTTGGTTTTGTTTTTTCTCCTTTGTTTATAGACTTAAAAACGCGGGGTTGATGGAGGGAGGGCTTTGGGCAGAGCCTGCGCAGAGGGAAGGGGGGACCCGGCCTCTACTCACATGCAATGGGGTCTGGGGGCCCCTGCCTGTCCCCTCCCCTGCTGCCGAGTCCCAGGTGCCACAGCTGGGGCTGGGCTGGGGTGAGGATTTTTTCTCTTTTTTTTCCCCCCATCCTTTGAAACACAAATAAAAACCCAGTAAAAGCAAACCCCACCCCGGAGCAGCAGCCACCTCTGTAAAAATAATAAATATCCTCCGGGCGCCTCGAGCCCCCGCTGAGCCCCCAGAGGGTGGGAGACACTGGGGGTCACCCACAGTGTGCACTGGGGACCCCATGCTCTGCTCTCACCCTGTACCCCCACCTGAGCAGCCCCCACCCCTCCAGGGGGCATTTATGGGGCCCCCAGGGTCGGTCCTGCCCAGCCCAGGCTGCCACTGCAGGACCCCCAGCTCCCCCGTGGCCCCTCGAGCAGCCCCCTGCCCCAGACCCTCCGCTTCCAGTTTAGATCCCAGGCTCCCTGCAGAACTGGGGGGACTGTGGGATTGAGGAGGTGACTCTCCCCTCCTCAAACTACCCCCCCTGCCAGGGTGGCACCGCAGCATCCCCCGGTGGGGAACACCCAGCTCCGGCCCCTTCCTGGCAGGACGTTCCCGGCTGGAGGAGAGGCTTATTGCTTGTAAAACCACGGAGAGAGGGGAGAGCGGAGCTGGCTCGGGGCTCTGCCGGGGGCTCAGTGGGGTGGGGGGTCAGAAAAGTCCCCCAGCACTGACCCCCGACCGACGCTCGGCTCCTTCTCTGCGCCCCGACCCCCGGGGCACCCCCAGCCCGGGCCCTCTCCTGGCACCTCGCTCCCGGGAGCCAGAGGGCTCGGCCACCCCACGCTACTGGACCCCCGTGGTGGGGGGTACAGCCAGGGGACCCCACATGCCCTCCTGGCCTTCCCAGGCCGGGACACCCTTCCCACAGGGCACTGGGCACCGGGCTGGTCCCCACGCCGGCAGCAGGAGGGGATGGAGCCCCGAACTCTAGTGGGGACCAAGTCCCCCCATGCCAGGGTCTCTCCCCCTCGTGGTGGGCCTAGACCGGGCTGTGGTCGGGGGGGGCATCACTGGCCGCCACGGCCACCGCGGGCTCGGGGGTCTCTCCCGCTCTCCTCAGGTGCCCATAGAGCCGCTCCTCCAGGCCACCGGTGATCTTGTCCATCAGCTCCGAGCCAGAGCCAAGCCCCAGGCACCTCCCGGGGCCGGGGCAGTCGTCGTCCTCAGGGGGCTCGGAGCCAGCCTTGGGCTCGGGGGCCGCCTCGCCGGGCTCCTCCACAATCACTTGGATCTCCGGGTCGGGCAGTGCCGGGGCAGGAGGGACCCCATCGGCCGCCTCGGCCGCCTCCTCGTCGCCGGCGCTGACGATGCGGGGCAGGGGGCTGTGGAACCGGGCGTCCAGGGGGTAGTTGGCGCTGTCGCCGCGGCGCAGGGGCGTCCGGTGCCGCTCCAGCGCCGGGTACCGCACGCCGGGGTCGCTGAACTGCTTCGCGTGCTGCCACTGCTTGCGCAGGTGGGTGCGGGAGCGGTGCTTCCCCCGCAGCGGCGACTCGTCGAACTGGGGGTCGTGGCGCACGAAGGCGTTGAACAGCGCATCCGTCTTCTCGTCGATGCTGTAATCCCGCCGGGGCAGCGCCTCCCGCCCCGGGAACATCTGCCCGTACGGCGACCAGGCCAGGGGGCTGTGGGGACGGAGGTGTCCCCCACCCGCTGCGCCCAGGGCCGTGCTCCCCCCGTCTTCCTCCTCCTCTTCTTCCTCCTCCTCCTCCTCCGGCTCCCGGCCCTCGAAGCTCTCGAAGATGGTTCCTTTCCGCCCGGCGCTGGTGAAGCAAATGCGCTTCTCGGAGGCCGTCTGGTCCTTGGGGGGCCCCTCCTCGCCCCCCCGGCTCGGCGCCTCGATGGAGGCGTAGCCGCTGTCCATCTGCAGCAGCTTGCGGGTGCCGGGCTCCGACTCCTCCGTCTTGGACCGACCCCAGAACTTCTCCTCGGGCCCTTCGGCCTCGTCCAGGGAGGAGGAGGGGCAGGGGGCCACGCCGCCGGCAGAGGAGACGCTGTCCCCGCCGTCGCTGCGCACGGAGTCCTGGTCGTTGCTGCGCTCGGAGGCCGCGTACAGCTCCAGCGAGGCGCGCAGGCTCCAGATGTCGTGGTAGGCGCTGGGCTGCTCGGGGCCGCCGGCCTCGCCGGGGCTGCCCGCGCCCCCCTCGCCCGGCTCTAGCCTGTGGGCACCACCCCCGTGTCACGGCAGGGACGGGACGGTCCCAGCCGGCAGCGGGCAGGGAACGTGCCAGCCCGGCCCCTGCAGGCTCCGCAGCGATGCCGTGGTGCCACCCCATGCTGTCCCCACCGCCCTGCCCGTGCCCCACCCCATCCTCCCCATCACCAGCTCCCCCTAGACTCGGTTGCCCCATCAAAGCCTCACAAAGGTGGGAGCCCCCCACGCCCAGGGCAGCACGGGGTCCCACGATGCCTTCCCGGTGCCCGGCTCACCCGTCCCCATCCCCTCTTATCTACTGAAAAATACCTGCCGAGAGAGGGTGGGGGGCTGGCGGGGGAGGGCAGGAAGGGGCCCCCCGCGGGGTGGAAGGCCACGTCGTCGGTGTGGGCGATGTACTGGATGATGTCGGTCTGGTGGGGGTCCCGGTCCTCCTGGTCCATGCTCTCGCTGGCCGCCCGCTGCCGCTGGAACTGCCGGCGCTTGGGGGACCCTGGGGGACACAGGGCATGGCTGGGGGGACAGCCCCCTCTGGCACCACGAGCCCCCTGCCCACATGTGCCCACCCACCCCACACGGCCCTGGAGGGCCCCCCTTGCCCCCACCTCTGGTGTCCAGGCTGGACGCCCGCTGGGTGCTCTCCAGCTTCCACTTCTTGATCCTGAAGTAGGGGCTGGCCCCGTCCAGGCTGGCGTGGCGGCGCAGGCGGGTGAAGAACTGCAGGACGGGGCCCTGGGGGGGGGTCGGAGGGGGCTCCCCGGGGCTGGCACTGCCCACCCCAGCTGCCTTCCCGCTCCTGGGGGCTGCTGCAAACTGGGGGGGGTGGAGGGGCCGTGAGTGGGGCCGAGCGGGCACTCACGGCCCCCCTGACCCCCCCGTATCCTGCTCAGCTCCTTTGTCCGCTCTGCTGAGTTGGGCTGCAGCAGATGCACAAACGTCCCCCGGGGCAGGGATGAGGTGGGGGGGGCAGAGCCTGTTTCTAGTTGGATGCCCACATCTCTCCTCAGAGCCCTGGCACAGAGGCGGGGGGGCAGGGCCGGGATCTGGGGGAGCAGGGAGGGAGCAGGAAAGAACCATTGGGTCTGCACAGGCTGCCAAGGCTGGGGAGCCCCTTCCCCTGCCAGGTCCCAGCCCCCCACCCCAGCACTCACCGAGGGGCCCTCCCCGGAGTCGGAGGAGGCAGCCGGGCTGGCCTCAGTGAAGCTGGTGTCCACGGTGGAGTTGTAGGTGTCCCCGGGCAGGGCAGAGCTGGGGCCCACGGCATGGCTGGGGAGCACCGGCTGGGGCAGGGCCCCTGCAGGGCGCTGCAAGGCAGAGCCTGCTCAGGGGGTCTGCACGATGGTGGGGACCAGGAGGAGCCCCTCGTCCCAGGACCCCTCGTCTCCACTTCCAACAATGCCCCAAGACTCCCACCCTGAGTCCAGCGGTGCCTCCTTGGTGTGCTGCAGGATGCCCAGACCCCTGGCCCCCCGTGTCCCAGCAGTGCCCAGGGCACCGGGGGCTCACCTGGAAGATGGCAAGGCCGGGCTTGGGTGGGGGCAGGCGGGGGGTCATGGCCAGGCTGTTCTCGCTGGACTCGCACTCGTGGATGGTGACAATCTTGAGGGCGGGTGGCGGGAGGTGCAGGTGGGTCAGGCGGGCGTTCTTCAGGTGGTGGAAGTCCCCCTCTGTCAGCGTGTACCTGCGGGACAGCCGGGTCAGGAGGGGCAGCCCCGGCCAGCCCAGGGTCCCCCAGGGGCCCCCAGTCCTGTGCTTCACCTCCTCCCCTTCTCCTGGGTCTTCTTGCTCTGGTCAAAGAGCGCGGCCTCGTTGAAGGAGACGCGGCGGGCGGTGGAGGAGCTGGAGGACAGGAACCGCTCGCTCTCCGCATCCCGGTAGCTGGAGGACGACAGGCACTCGGGGTCCTCCACTTTGACAGTGATATCTGTGGGGAAGGGGGTCAGCCACCAGCTCCCCCCACTGTGGGGCACCCCAGCTTCCCCAGCTGGGGCGTGACAAACTTGCTGCACTCGTGGCCTCGATGCCAGCCCAGAATTCCCTGCTCCCAGCTGCCAGTCCCACTCCACAGCAAGGAATGGACGATGGAGGGCCCAAGGGCTGCCTTACCCCCACTCCCAAGGAGCTGGGGGTGCTGCTGGGGGGGCTGGCAGGTCACTGTGGGCACTCACCCTGCGCTGGCTGCGAGTCATCCAGGTAAGTGGTGTTGGTTTTCTCAGGGTCATCGCTGGCTCTGCGGAGGGAGGAGGGTCAGCGGTGCCCATGCCAGCCCTCCTGCCCCTCTCGCAGTGCCACACCCCTCGGGGACAGCGGCGTCCCCCGTGCCCACCTGGAGTGCCGGCGGTCGGCCTCGCAGCAGCGCCGGCAGATGATCAGGATGCCCGAGAGCAGGACCAGGGTGCCCCCGATGAAGATGGAGAGCAGGGCGAGGAGCAGCACGTACCCATCCTGGGGGGACACCTCGCCGGGCACCGCCTGCCCGGGGCCGAGGGGCTGAGCTGCGGGGACGCGCCGGGGGACCCCGGCCCAGCCCAAACCTGCCCCCGGCCCAGCCCAAACCTGCCCCCGCCGCGCTGACGCCAGCGCCGCTCCCCAGAGCCGCTGAGCCCCCCCCGCGCCGCCCCCGGGCCCTGCCTGCACCAAGGCAACGGCAGCCGGGGGGGCTGAGCCGCCCGCGGCCCCCGCGCCGAGCGGGAGTGGGGACGGGGACGGGGACTGGGACGGGGATGGGGACGGGACCCCCAGTCCTGCCCCACCACGGCGCTCAGGGCTTCCAGCCCTCAGCCGGGGGAAAGGCGCTGATCCGGCAGCAGCCCCCAGACCCCCCAGCACCCAGAGCATCCCGGGGGTGTGCAGGGCACAGAGAGGTGTCACCCACCCCCAGGACTGGCAGAGCAGGGGGTGACAGTGGGGTTGCTGCCGTCCCCACCCGGACACAGACCCCAGCCCCACGGCAGACACGAGAACCCCACAGCTCCCAACGCGCATCCCCCCTCCCGCGGGACCCCGAGGCCGGCGGCGTGGGCAGGGGCAGGCAGGGGCTGCAAGGGCAGGCAGGGACAGGCAGGACTCACCGTGGCGCTCTCGGTCGCGTTGTCCCAGGGTGTTGGGTCATCGCTCATGGTCCGTCCCGGCCTGAGCGTGTCCTGGTGCGGGGGGAGAGAGAGGGAGGCACCGGCCGGGGTGGCGGGGCCGGGCCGGGGGCGGCGGCGGCGGCTCCTGCCCCGGCCCCTGCCCGGCACCGCGGTGCGGAGCTGCCGGGAGGGACCGGGAGGGAGGGACCGGGATGGAGAGATGGAGGGAGGGATGGAGGGAGGGACCGCGATGAAGGGATGAAGGGAGGGTGTGCTCAGGGGGAGGATGAAGAAGGGATGGAGGGTGTGGTCAGGAGAGAAGCAGGGATGGAGGGATGAGGAGGAGGGGACAGGACCGCTGCCCTTCCCCGGGGAGCCCCTCGCCCCCGCAGGCCACAGCTACCCCGCGCCCACCCCCGGACTCGCGTGGGCACGGCCCCCGGAGAGCGGCCGCGGTCCCCACGCCCGGTTGGGGCCGGAGACCCCAAACGGTGGCTGGTGCCGGTGGCCGGAGCCGGCCCGGGGGGGCTGTCCCTGCCCCGGTTCCGGGGTGACACCGCACCGACGTCCCCGGGGAGCCGAGGGGCCAAACGCGGCCCCAGGCCCGCTGCCGGAGGGGTCGGCGCTGCCGGGAGACCCCCGCCCGCGGGAGCCCGGAGCGAGCCGCGCTGGGGGCAGCGGCAGGGCCGGGGGGCAGGTGGCCGCCCCACAGCTCGTGGCGTGGGTGTCGCCGGAGAGCGACGGGTGACGTTCGTGAGTCATCCCGAGAGCGGCTCCGTCACCGGGCGGTCCGCGCGGGGGGGACACCGAGGGGCCGGGGGGGCCGGGCCGAGCTCCCGAGCAGCGAGAGCCACCGGGGCAGGGGTCCCACATCCCTCCGCGGCATCGGCCCCGCGGTCCCCTGTGGGGACCTCGTCACCCTCCCCCGTGTTCGGGGGGGCCCTTCCCGGGCGCTGCCGGGCTCCAGCTCCTGTTGCGGGTCCGTGTGTCCCCTCCGTGCATCCCCTCCGTGTGTCCCCGGGCTGCTGGAGGGGCTGAGACTGAGCTGGGTGGGCGATGCTGCTGTCGGGGACCCCCAGAATGGGCAGGGGTGGGTGATGCTGGTGTTGGGGACCCCCGGAGCAGGCAGAGGTGGGCGCTTGGAAACCGCTCAGAATTAGGTCAGTGAAAAATGTGAATGGAGCCCGTGAAGGGGTGGGGACTGTCACTCGTGGGGACAGCACAGCGGTGGCCGTGTCGCAGCTGGCAGCGAGGGATGGTGATGGCTGGGGCCAGCCCTGGCACAGGACATCGGGGTCTTACCGGGATATCTCCCGGGGCAGAGACCCCCCCCGCCCACCCCGGCTCTCGGTGCACCTCAGGCATCTCCGAGCTGGTGTGATGCAGCACGGGCTGAGGGGACCCACCCCGTGGCGCCCCGGACACGATAAGGCAGGGGTCCCTCCACCGACCCCAGTATGCCGAGGGTGTGGGGGGACCCCGGGCCTGGCAAGGGGGACCCCGGGCGAGAGGCTGCGGCTCCACGCGGAATGGGGGCCCGGCGGGAGGGATCCCTGCCGGGCACCCTCAGGCCCGACGGGGGGGCGCGGGGGGCCGGGGGTAGCTGGAAGAATGTCCCTCCTGTTCCCCATCATGGAGGAATCCCGTCTCCATGGCGACCCGGCAGGAACAGGACGGCCATTGTCTGGAGGAGGGGGCCGGTCCCGGGGCTGTCCCCCCGCGGGGGGACACGGGGCGGGACCCGGGGCCGCCGGTGGTGCCCAGGGCGGGGGCTCGGGGCCGGGGGACCCCGGTGCTGCCGCGCCCACGCACGTGGGAGGGGGTGCGGGGGGGTGTGTCGGGGCTGTGCCCCACGCGTGTGTGAGACCCACGGGGCCCCGTTGGGCCGGGGCTGGGCTGCGGGCGGGGGGGGACCCGCTCTGTCCCCCCTGGGCGCATCCCCCCGCGCCAGCCCGGTGACGGGGATGCAGGCAGGGATGCGGGATGCAAATAGGGATGCGGAATGTGATGCAGGCAGGGATGTGGAGCAGGGACGGAGGCAAGGATGCGGGATGCAGGCAGGGATGTGGGGCAGGGATGCGGGATGGAGACAGGGATGCAGGCAGGGCTGGTGACAGGGCTGGTGACAGCGAGGCAGGAGCGCCGGGGACCTCCAGGCGCGGTGGGGCGTGATAGTCTGCCCTCGGCCGGGCTGGCTCCGTGTGTCGCGATAGGGGCTGTCGCGAGGCGGCGGAGCCAGACACTCACCTACAACCGAGATCGGGGCTCCATCGCCGCCGCTGCGCTCGGTGCGGCGGGGCGGCCCCGGGATTTATGAATGAACCGGAGCCGCCCCCGCGCGGCGCGGGCGTCACGTGGGGACAGGGGCTGCCCCAGCCCTGCCTGTACCCCTGCCTGTACCCCTGTCTGTACCCCTGCCTGCCCCACAGCCCTGCCTGCACCCCTGCCTCCACCTGTCCCGCCTGTACCCCTGCCTGCCTGTACTCCTGCCTGCCCCACAGCCCTGTCCATACCCCTGCCTGTACCACCTCTGCCTGTACTCCTACCTACACCAGCCCTGCCTATACCAGCCCAGCCTGCACCCCTGCGTGACCCCCTGCCGGTCCCAGCCCTGCCCGCACTCCTGCCTGTACGCCTGTCTGCACCTCAGCCTGCACCCCTGCCTGTACCACCCCGCCTGTACCCCTGCCTGTACCCTGCCTGTACCAGCGCTGCCTGCCCCCCTGCCTGCCCAAGACCTGCCTGTACCTCTACCTGTCCCACCTCCCTGCCTGCATCCCTCTCCCACCTCCCTGTCTCCATCCCCGCCCCAGAGCCCTCGCGGCCGGGCCGGGCCCGGGGGTGCGGCGGCCCCTCGGTGCGGGGGCGGAGCGGGGCCGGACCCCCCGGCACCGCGACACCCGGCGGGGATGGGACTACAACTCCCATGAGGCCCTGCGGTGCCGGATGACGCCTTCTGCGCCGGGCGGCGCGCGGGGCACGCCGGGAGCTGTGGTCCGGCGCCGTCCCGGCCTGCCCCGCGCCGCCGCCGCCGCCGCCGCCATGGCCGCGATGTTCCGCGCCCGCCGCCTGCTCCGCCTCGCCCGCCCCGCGCTGCTGCCGCCGCCCGCCCGCGGCTACGCCGAGCCCGCCGCGGGCCCCGCCGCCATGGCCTTCACCTTCGCCTCGCCCACGCAGGTACGGCCGGCCCGGCCCCCGTGTCCCCGCCGCCGCCCCGCCCGGTGCCCGCGGCGGGCTCGGGGCGGGCGGGACGCGGCCGGTGCCGCCGCCCCCGTGGGGCTGTCGGTGCCCGGGGCCGGGGCGAGAGCGGGGCCTGGGGCGCTGCGGCCCCCGCGGCCCGGCCGGGCTGTCCCCGGGCTGACCTTGGCCCTGACCTCGGGCCGTCCCCGCCGCGGCGCTCCCGGGGCCCGCCCGGGGCCGCTCCTGCTCCTGCTCCTCCCGGAGCGGGACGCGGCCGGGCCGCCCCCGCCGTGCCCGGGGCTGCGGGGGCGGCGGGGCCGGCGGTGTCCCCGGGGCAGGGCGCGGGCACAGGGACAGGGACAGCCGGGCCGCGTGGGCCGCAGCGGGGACACCGGCTCAGGGCTCCCCACGCGCTTCCCAGGCTGCTCCCGGCTGTGCCGGCGCCTCTCGCCCACTCCCGACTCCGTGTCTGCGTGTGCCCCGGGAGCTGGGAACGCATCCCCGCTCCCCGTGCCAGGACCCCTCCTCTGGAACCCGGCCCTGCTCCCTGCTGTGCAGGTGTAGCCTGTCCTGGGCACACCTGGGCGTGCTGAACCTGTCAGGAGCCGGGCTGTTCCCTTGGGATGGAGCTGGGATGCTCCCTCTGGATGGAGCCAGCTGCCCACTGCATCCCTGGGCTCTTCCCTGCCACTCTCCATCCCCCCATTCCTGATGACTGTTTTCCTGTGTCCTCCTCGTCCAGGTGTTCTACAACGGTGCCAACGTGAAGCAGGTGGACGTGCCCACGCTGACTGGCTCCTTTGGCATCCTGGCATCCCACGTCCCCACGCTGCAGGTGCTCCGGCCAGGCGTGGTCACAGTCTACGCCGAGGACGGGACGGCCACCAAGTACTTTGGTGAGCGAGGCAGGAGGAGCTGGGGAGGAAAGGTGTGTGTGGGGATGGTGTTCTCAGTGCTTTCACAAGGGAGGCTCTGCCCAGCCACGTGTGCCCTGCTGCATTTCCAGGGATTTCTGCTTTCCCAACCCTGCCAGGGGCTGCTGGAAGCTGCCCTGGGAGCTGGAGCTCTATGGGTTGGGGTTGGGTCTTGGTTCTGCTCAGGCTCTCTGGGAACATACCTTGCTCCAGCTTCCCTTGGGGTGGGAACTGAGGCCCTGAATGTTGGGAACGTGACAGGAGGGTGCCAAGGATTTGTTTTGGGGAAGGGATGGTGGAGGTGCCAGGGGTGAGCCCCTCTGGCAGCCCTGGCTGACCCTGCCCTCTGTGCCTCGCAGTGAGCAGCGGCTCCGTCACCGTCAACGCCGACTCCACAGTGCAGGTGCTGGCAGAGGAGGCGGTGACCATGGACATGCTGGACCTGGCTGTGAGTACCCCGAGCCCGGGGGGGCTCCCCGGGGGGCTTTGCCCCCTGCTTCTCTACTCTGGTTGGCTCAGGAGCTTCCCCTGCCCAGACCAGGAGCTGTGCCTGCACCCCCATCACTTGGATCAAAGCCTCAGGGCTCCAGGGAGTGGGAACTGTGCAGTCATTCACCTTCCCCAGGCTATTCTCGCCCGTCAGACAGACACTGACCTTGTCCCCATCCCCTCTTGGGCTCCAGAAAGAGCTTTTCCCTGCTGATAAGGTGTCTGGGGCCAGCACAGCTGTGTTGGCTGCTCCACAGGGCCCCGGGTCAGTGTCTGTGGGGTCAACAACTGCAGTGGGAGGGAGGGGGTGACTCTGGGGCTGTAGAATTGTCCCCTCTCCTGTGGTGGTCTCCCAGTGACACATTCCTTGTGCCCCTCTGTTCAGACTGCGAAATCCAACCTGGAGAAGGCCGTGTCAGAAGTGGCTGCAGCGTCCGATGAAGCTGCTAAAGCAGAAGCTCAGATTAAGGTAGAAGCCAACGAAGCCCTGGTGAAGGCTCTGGAGTGATTCAGGTGAGGGTCACCTGGGGCCTGGCTGAGTGTCCAGACCTGCTTCTGGGGACAAGTCCTGTGGGGCTGCTGGGGTGGGCGAGGGGTGGTGCCCTGGCTTCTGGGGAGCAGTGACTCTGCAGCTGTCCCTTGCTGGGGTCAGGCCTCAGCTCTGAGAGGGCCTATGAGGGTCCTCAGCCCAGAGCTGAGGCAGGGCCACCAGATGGCAACAGGGCCCGGGGCCAGGCCGGGCTGTGCCCGGTTCAACCCTAGTGCCAGGACAGGCTGGGAGCTGCTGTCACTGCCAGGGCTTCACTGGTGCCCCAGGTCCCCCCAGGACTGGCAGTGCTCACGGGCAGCTCGGGGGCAGGCAGGGGGTGCCTGGGCAGTGGCCTCTGCCCTGCGTGGCCTCTGTCACGGACACTCCCCTAAGACAAACAGCTTCAGTCTCGGGGGAGGTGAAGCCAGGCTCTTACCTCATGGCCCCTTTTCCCTCTGCCCTGCTCAGACTGTGCCTCATCCCTCCCATTCCCACGTGCTGGCAGTCGGGGACTCTGTGGCAGTGTGTGCTGTGCTGGGGGTGAGTCACTGAGAGCCTCCGTGAGCCCCGAGCACAGCAGGGCACCGGCTCCCACTATCTCCTCATCTCTGCTCCGGGTGCTCTTTGGTGCTCTTTGGTCCCGGGGAGACTGGCTCGTGTTTACTCTCAGCAGTTGAGCAGCTGGAGCAGGGCCAAGCCCTGGGGTCGGGATCCAAGGCCCAGCCAAGCCCCCCCTCAGTAACCCAACCCTGCTTTGTGCATTGCAGGAATCCCACCGTGGGTGCAGAACTCCCAGCCTGTCCCTGTCCTGCTCCCCAGCTGCACAGATGGAGTGGGGCGAACGGAGGTGGAGAAAACGTTCTCATCAATTAAAAGGAAATGCAACCCCCTCTCGTGGCACGTCACCTTCTTCCCGCACAGCGATTGCAGCAGAGCTGGGATCAGCTCCCGGCTCCTGCCCCGGCCTGGGGGCTGGGGGGCAGATGCACCCAGGGAAGGTGTCACTAGCGCTGCCCTGGGGATCAGCCGGGCATTCCCAGGGCAGATCTTCCCGCACGAGGCTCATCGGGCAGGTTTATAACCCCCTCCCGGTGCTCCAGCCACCTCCACCTCCAGTAGTCACCTGGACAGCAGGATTAAGGCAGCACAGGAGTACAGGTCTGTTCCAGAGCTGTTCTGTCCTGGTTCCCTGCCCCACCACTGGCTCTGCCTCGGCCTCCCGGCTCCGGCGCTGCAGGAATCCCCGTTGACCGGACTGTTCCGGCACGGTGCTGCTCACAGCTGGGCAGCAGCTGCCGGGCTCTGCCCCATCCTCTGCTGCTGCTGGCACACGGAGCAGGGAGAGCTCCCCCTGCCCCCAGAGACTCGGTGCAGAGGGAAGCAGATGCCGTGCGTGGTGGGAATCTTTCCTGCTGGGGGCGGCTGTGACTCTGCTGCAGTCGTGGCTCACCCGGGGCTCGCTGGACGCAGCCCTGTCTGAGGAGGCTGCTCAGGACTCACCACAGCCCAGGGAAGGCAGGAGGGGCTCCAGGGAAGCAGGAGGGGCTCTTCCCAGCCCCAGAGCTGCTGGGAAGGGGCGTGTTTGAGTGAGGGGATGGCTCTGCCTGTGCCAGGCACCGGGGATGCATGTCCTGCCCACGGCACCAGATGCTGCCAGGCCCCTCGCTCGGTGCCTCCCTCCCCACGCCCTCCCAGAGGGATTTCGGGTTCCCTCTGCTGTGCAGAGCTGCCACGCTCTAATCCCCTTTTCCCTGCCGTGTTCCAGCCCGGGAAGGTGCGTTGGCTGCCTGTGTGGGCAGCAGCTCTGGGGAGGTCACTGCTCCAGGGAGGTCACTGCTCCGGCCTCCTGCGGGCCCCGCGCGGCTCCCGCTGCTCCCTCCCGGAGTGGGGCACGGCTATTTTCGGTGCTGCCACCCAGGATGTAATCTTGGCTGCCTCCTCTTCTCACCGCCACCTCCTCCCCCTCCTCTTGCTCTCTCTGTCTTTCTCTCCCCCCCTTCACAAGTGATCAAAAATAGAGCCCGTGGTGTTAAATTTCTCACTCTGTGGCTTATTAAAAGCCTCCGAGTGCCTGACGCGGAGCCTATTTGAAGCTCAGCCGACTTCCAGCTCCTGAGCTGCTCCAGTGCCTTTTCCCCTTCCCCTCTCATTCCCTTTCTTCTTTTTCTTCAAAGGTCAGACGTTGTACCGAGCATGAGCAAATCCTCCGAGTCGGGGCTGTGCTAATTAAAACATCTCGGGAATAACGGGGGCCGGCCGGCTCCCCTCCCTCTCCTGCTGCCCCTCTCTGTCCCCGGCTGCTATTTCGGCTGCGTGAGCCTCCCCCGGCACACGCAGCCGTGCTGACGGAAGGTGGCTGCCTCGGGTTTTTCATCTAATGGAAGAGCGTTGGCGAGGCCGGGAAGCTGGGGAAACGGCCAGCTGCTATTTTTAGGATGGGAAAAAAGTGTCTCCGTCAGCGTCCTCTCACCAGCTCTTCCCACTGCCTTCCGCCAGCGCCGGGGGGGCCGGGGGGGCTGAGGAATCCGGCCCTGCCCCTCACAGGGTGCCCTTGGCTGGGAGCTCCATGGCCTGATGGCTGCTGGGACTTGTAGGCTGTGTCTGGGGGGAGCAGTGAGGGCACCTCCAGTTCTTCCATGTCCAGAGACCCTGAGACAGTGCCCCCGCTCTGTCCTGGGATGGGGCCTCTCCTGCCCTCGTGGATGCAGGGAAAGGGCTTTGTCCTGAGCCAGGACCGGAGCAGCCCTGGCCGGCGATGTCACAGCCCTGCTCGCCGTGAGCTGCACTTTGGGGGTGCAGGGCCATGTGTGGGTGATTCACTGAGCTCCTCCACACTCCCAGCCCAGCCCACTCCCCACAGGGACCTCCTGCTGCAGCCTTGGCTCTGAGCCCCTCACCTCTGCCTCTGGCCCTTCCCCTCCGGCTCTGCAGAGCCACGTTCTCCTCCCCCAGCTCCTGCTGCCCACGCCAGAGCCGCCATCAGTCGCGTCCCACTGGATGCCATGAAAATGGGCTGACTGGGGGCAGGAGATGTGCAGCTGTGGCTGCACCGGAGGCAAAGCCCTTCCCTGCTCCTGGCTCGCTGTACTGGCACTGCAGGGATGAACCCTGCCAGGGGGCAGGGAAGGGGGAGGCAGCTCCACGGTGTGGACCATGATGTGATTCGATGGGTGAATCTCCCTCCTCTCTCCCCGAAACCAGCCTGGACTGGGGAGATGGTGGCACTGGCCTGGCACTTGGCGGTCCCTGGAGTGCTGGCACCTGCCCTTGGGCACCACAGCCTCTGTTCACAGCAGGGCAAAAGGCCTTTCTCCACCTCCTTTTGGGGTGATGGGTGCTGGGGTAACTCTGCCTTTGGGTCTCTGTCTCTGCTGGGGGCATGCAGGGCTGGGAGCATCTGCACAGTGCAGTGGAGTTATTCCCAGGAGCCTGGGGTCTGTCTGGCTCCGGCTCTGGGCTGGGCGGTGGGTGTGAGAGGGAAGAGCTCCCCTGGCCGTGGCGGGAGCGGGCAGGGGGCCGGCATTGCCCCCCTCCTCCTCCCCTTCCACCCAGGGCTCTCGCCCGTGACTCGCATGCTCTGCTGCCAGATGGAGGGTGGGGAGCGGGGCCGGGAGCGCTCGGAAAGTGAAGCATCACGGATTCTGCCGGCGGCGTCGCTTCTCCGGGGGATGATTTCCGAGACGGGCCGGGCTCTGCCGGGCCAAATCTCCCGGTGCTGAGGGCCCTCCCTGCGCTCGGCCGCGTGGCATTTCCCCGTCCCACCCAGTCCCGAATGCAGGCGAAAGGTTCCAGCTCTCCTCTCTCTGCAGGAAAAACAACCCCAAACCCCACCGCAGCCCCAGGACGCCCCGCTCCCGCCGGGCTGACTCATCCCGCAGAGCCGCCCCTTTCCCTGCCCAAAGCTCGGCACTTGGGATCCTGCCTGGCCCCACTTGGGATCCTGCCTGACCCTGCTGCTGCCTCGCGCCCTCAGCGCCCAGTCTGCAACATCAGGGTGGGGGCACAGTGGCTACCCCCACCCCTCACATTGCCAGGGGGCTGCAGGAATTGGCAGCAGCCCCCACACAGCCCTCCAGCAGTGTGGGGACCCCCAGGGCAGCTCCTTGCCTGTCCCTGCCGAGGCCGTGCAGTGCCCAGGTGCAGATCCAGCCCCCTCCCTCCTCCGTGCCTGTGGGTGCTGCCCACGGCCCCGGCATGGGAAGGTCAGTGGAGGCTCCACACGCTGCCAGCACAGCCCGGCGTGTCCTTGGGCCACGCTGCCCTTGGGCGGCTCGAAGGCCGAATCCTCGCAGCTTCCTTCGGGTGTGGGGGGGTTGCTGTAATGATTAACCCACCCATGTTAATCGTTCCGGCCGGCAGCCTTTTTCCTCTGGGTTTCCAGCTCTGGAAAATGCTCTTTTTCCGCCACCCTCCCACGCACGTGGCCCCGTGGAAGGAGCATGGCACAGCTCAGGGAAAATCCCCGCGGGCAGGAGGGGGACCCGGCTCGGGGCCCAGCACCAGGATCTGTCCCAGCGGGGCCCCTCAGTCCCGGTCCCAGGGGTGCTTTGCTTTGTTTCCAGGTGGTGGAGCCATGGGGAGCATCGCCCCACCGGCCTCACCCCCGAAATGCAGGCGCAGGAGCGGGTGCCGCGGGCGCTGAGCAGGGCGGGTGTTGCAGCCAGCACGACGGAGCTTGTCACGCTGCTCCCGGGCCAGCAGCCTCGCGGCGCTGCCGGCCACGCGGCAAACCCTGGCCCAGGGCAGCTTCTCCTGGCAAACTGAGGCACGGGTGGGGAAAGGCACTTGCAGGCTGGGGAGAGCAGGGACGGGCCATGGGAATCCCAGACCCTGCTGCTGTGTTTGGGGATGGGGGAGCCCCCTGGGAAGCCCCCCAGGAGCTGCTGGGGTCAGGTGAGGGACGGTGGGGGTGGCACGTTGCCATCACTGGGGTCCCAGGTGCCTTGGCAGGGGCTCGGTGGCCCCGGGGCCGCGGGCACGGCCCTCGCTCGGGGCAGCCTTGGCGGCTGCTGACTCTCGGCTCCACTGGAGCCAGCCCAAAGCCGTGGGGGCCGGAGGGGTGCACGGCCCCGTGCTGGGGGTTCCAGCAAAGCCCCCTCCTGCTGCCCCCTGGCCGGGGCCACCACCAGTGCGGGGCAGGGGGAGGCTGGGGAGGAAGCGGCTGCCAGCTGGGCTCGACGCCGGCTACAAAGGCGGCCCAGAGAGCCCAGTGGAATGAGGTGGCACCCGTCCAGGTTCCCACGGCGGCCCTGGTGCAGAAAATACACCCGGAGCTGGTGGCGGTTGCCACAGCAATGGGCTGGGTGCCACGCCGCGGGGGGCACGACCCCGGACCCAGGTGTGCCGGCACGGGACCCCAGCTCAGGGTGGTGGGAGCAACGTGGGGCGGCAGAGCCGGGCGCTGGCAGGGACCAAAGGCTCCTGCCCTGGCTCCTGCTGCCCCCGCCCGCCTTTGATGTGCCGGGACTTCGCCCTTGGTAAAGCTGGGAGGTTCCCAAGGAGTTCCCAGCTGGATCCCAGCATCCAGCACCCAGACACCCAGCGCGAGCCCCCGTGGGCCCTGGGGCTCCATCCACTGCTTGGTTCCCTTTGCCTCCGCCACAGCCAGGGGCTCAGAGCCCCCTCGGGCTTCCCGGTTCCTGGCGGGGCTGGGCCGGGAGGAAGCGGCTGCAGCTGGTCCCGGCGCTGGGGCTCTTCCTGGCGGGGTTGGCGCCGGGCTGGGGCGCAGGGTGGGGAGGGGAAGCTGGGGGGGCTGGGGCCACTGCCCTTTGGGATGCCCCAGCATGCGGTGGGGAGGAGGAGGCGGCAGCGCTTCCATGCCCGCTCCCTCAAAGGCTGCCCCTCCACCGGGTATAAATAGCAGGATTGAGGCCTGGCGTGACATTGGAGT